CTGCCTTGGCCTCTTATGTGCTGGAAACACAAGATGTGTGCCCCTGCAGCCAACTCCACTGATGATTATTTGTTAATTGATGTACTAGGGCCTTTGTTCCATGAAAGCCCCACCAGCCCAATCTATGGATCCTGGTCACTTCTTTCACTCACTCAAGTCCCTGATAACTTTTCTTAGTTGGAGGATCTTGGGAGAAGTTGGACACAGGGCCCAAGAACTGGAAACAGGAATTGCCTCCCTGAAGCTACCAGACTTGGCCAATTGTTCCCATCCCTTTTTGTTAATTGAATCTCTTTTGAAGGAATGAGAGGAGAGGACCCTGGGGTTCTCACCCCACAACCTCACTACTAGGTACCACAAAACTGACCAAGTTTTCCTTTCAAACCAGTAGTTTTTAGCAGGTCACCAAATGCTATACTACTATCTGTGGTCATAAGTACATTGCCTCAGCAGCCCTTTGGTCCTAGATATACCCTTCCTACCTGAAGCAGGTGTGAGGATAATAAAGATGCTTATGGGGTATACCCAACATATTTGACTCCTAGAGGGAGTACTTTTGACATCCCTCCTGTGTACCACCAAATTATTTACATTATTACCATGAGTCAACAAGCAGCAGTATGCCTTATTTTTCTGATTTTCTATCTCACTAATTATAAAAGGGAAAATTTACATTTTTAAAAATTTTAAATTCAAATTTATGATTACTTAGTCAAAAAGAACATAGTGCCACTTTGTTATTCCTATGAAACATGCACAATTGGGATTTAATAAAGAAAAATCATCTGACATGATAAATTGAGAGATATTCTTTAAAACACCAGGCTTTCAAAAGTATCAGTGTTCTGAAACAGACTAAGGAAATGTCTGAGATGGAAGAGGGCCAAGGAAACAAGATAACTAGAGGAAATTTATGACTTAGAACTGGGTTCATTATCTAGAAAAGACACTATTGTAACAATTGCTGAATCATAAGTAGATCTGAGCATGGGATGGCACTATTGTATAACATCTATTTCCTCCCATGCATGACTGTTTGGTGATTAAGTGGGAAAAAATGTTTGTGTTTGTAGAAAATATATACTGTGGAATCCATGGCTGATGGAATGGTAGGTCAGCATCTTACTCTCTGATAATAATATCCTTGCACTGTACTCCCAAATGTTTATGTGTTTGTGATTTTATATTTGTGTGTTTATTTTTTGTAGTGTTAGTGATCCATCCTAGGGCCTCATGCACGCTACACAAGTGCTCTACCTTTGAACTCCACCCCCAGCCCTGTGTGTTGTATTTCAGCACAAAGATTATTTTTAGAAACCTCCATGGTAATTGTAATAATTGTTGAAATTGTAAGCCAACAAAAGGCTTTTTTGTAGTATTTTTTGGAGTATTTTTCATGATATTGCTTGGAATTCTTAGCAATAGTTGGTTTGGGTTTTGCTGATAAATTCTTCACTGACACAGCACCCCTTATGACTCACATGTACAGCAGACGTCTCCTACAACCCAGTCCTCTGCAGGCGCTGATTACACTGGCAGATCAGGATCCACAATTAAATAGTGGGACACAGGACACTGGGCATGCTGAGGTCCTAGGCTGAGAAAGCCTTTCGGAACAGCATTGGGCTGTTGGACCACATAGTGTTTTATATACCATTCACACAAAGGTAAGGTGCTAGTACAAAATCTGGCCAGTCAACCATACATTTCTCAGGGGTCGGGGGGTAGGATTTTCTTATATTATCTCTCCTAAGTTCTTCTCCTTAAATTAGCTGCCTCTGTGGAGTAGGTCGTTCTAAATAGGGTGCTCCAGATGCTATCTAGTGACCTGGATGTATTTTTTTGATCAGAGCAATCCCCCTGAGTGTAGATTATAGTTAATCAGTACACGTAGGTGCTTGCTGTATTGTAAAGTAAAAGACAATGTCTCCCCGTTACATACAAATTGATCTTTGTGAAGTCAAAATGCTATGTATACACGGTTTTTTCTAGGTACTGTTCTCCCTTCTTGGAAACAAGGTTGAGCCTGAGAAGAGATGTTTAGGATGATAATGCTCCACTCTAGCTCATAACACAGGGTGGATTGGGAACAAACTTAAAGCAGGCTTCTGTAGGACGAGCTGAGCATGGCATCCGGCATGGCTGCTGTCCTTGTCTTGTGTTCTTCTGGCTGTGTGCACACTTGGTGAACTTATGAGATATTTGCCTCTACAGTGAGAGGCGAATACCTACACCGAGAAGTATCAGTAACTCATTGTTCTACACTTCTGGGACAAGATAGTGAAGAACAACATATTCCCCTGAGAGTGGTGTCAGTAAAGCTTTAGGTCATTTGAAACTTCACTTCATGTTCCATTTGGAACTTCAGCATGGAGAGAACAGCCTTGGATGTAGGTCCCTACGTGGTCTCCAGCTCCATGCATGAATACACAGACACCAAAGCCTAAAGGACACAAAAATCACCCATGGTCCTTATTAGGTGCACATGCTGAATGGTTTGTGTCTAGATGTCCTGCAAAACCTCATGCAGTTGTAGGGCTTTTTCAGAGGTAGCTGAATCTAGAGTGTGTGATGCTGGGCTTTAGGGTATGTGATCAGTTCACTGATTACTTTAGCACTGCACTAGTCCCAGCAGCATAGGCATAGTATAAAAGGGGCAGAAAGATGCTATTAAGGTTAATTATTGATTTTACTGTCTTCTGCCTGCCATAAACTGTTCTCCTGTACAAAGCCACCCTACCCTTGAGCGAGCCCACCAGGGGCTAAAACTACAAACTGAGAGATAAACCTTTCCTCCCTTAACTTTGGAGATTGGGTGCTTTGTCTCAGCAATGACAAAAGTAACTAAGACAGAATTTGTACTGAGAATGGGATTGTTGTTGTGACCATACCTCACTATGTGACTTAGGAGCCTTTGGGAATGGCTTGTGGGAAGAGTTTGGATAAGTTCAGAGATTCTCTCTGAGAAATGTAGAGCTGGAATGTCTGAGGCTGTACTGCATTGCAGATTCTGGTTAGAGCTCAGGAAGTTTCTGCCGAGAAGGACTATGTTGGCTGCTGGACTCCAAATGACGTTTGCAATGGCTTGGCAGAAAATTTGTCTCAATTTTACTCATATTCAGACTTTGCCTGAGACTGAGATTAAGGGCAACTGACTAATTAATCTTTAGAAGAAATTTCAAGGTAGTCAAATAATAAGGTGGTGGTATGGCTCCACCTCAACACTGGGGGGCCTTTAGCCAAATCTGTGTCGAGAATCAAGAGCAAAGAGCCCAGCAGAATGATTAAAATGTTGTGAGTTTAGACAGAAAGGAAGGTCCAGTAAATCCATGGACTACAGAGATAGAGCAGAAGAGATCTTGACTGCTGAGAAGGAGCAACAAAATAGAAAAGATGGCCTAAAAATGTCACAAGAAGCGGCAGGACTCCACCCTTTGAAGCCTCAAATTTATGTAAGTGAAAGATTTTGCTTTGAGAAGAAAGCCCCAGAGCATCGTATTCCAGGATGGTGGCAGCCTAGAGAATTTGGTCCTCAGGATTAGGTTCGAAATGCTTGGTAATCTAGGTGCTCAATCCCCACAGCCAAGAAAGAGAAAGCCTCACTGCAGCTCTAGCTGTTGGCAATCTTTAGCATCCATCCATGTGGCGCTGGTTTTGGGTACATGCAGAATGCAATAGTTTCAGGGTGAGGTAGGCTTCCATCCAGATTTCAGAAAAAGGCCTGAGAAGCCAGGCAGTGTACTCCTGAGAGGACAGTGTGTGACACTGAGTGTGAAGCCAAAGGTAAAGTGGAGACCCAGAAGTTTAGAGAAACCTGAAATACGGATTCTCTCGGGAAAACTGTGAGGAAATAGAGCAAGCTTAAGAGAAAAGCCACAGGAGCTACCACCACTGCAGTGCTACAGAGGCAGAGCCACTCAAGCTCTGTAGAGTTCACATCTTGCCATGGATTGCCTCTGATGCTGCACATAGAACTACAGGACTTAATGTTTGCCTTCTTGGATTTTGGACTTGTTTTGGTCCTGTTTCTTTATACTCCCCTGTTTATAACTTTGGGAATGGAAATGTTTATCTTATGCCAGTGAATGTTGGAAATGTTTAACTTTCTTTTCATTTGTACAGTGGCTCATGACTAAGAGTTTGCCTTAAATCTCAAAGGAGCCTTGGGACTTGGAGTGTTCAACAGTGCTGAAACTGTTGGGACTTTGGCAACTCTTGGAGATGGACTAAGAGCTCTTAGTCCATGAGTGCATGAGTCTGTGGGAATTCAGAGGCAGAATGTTATCATTTGTGTCTAAATGTCCCCTCGAGACCTCATGTGACCATAGGTCTTTTTCAGAGGAGGCTGAGTCTAGAGTTATGATGCTGGGATTAAGGGTATATGGTCAATTCAGTGATTGGACTGGCCCTACCGTAGTCACAGCAGCATAGATAGAGTATAAAAGGGTCAGAAAAATCAATGTTAAGGTAAGGGACTGATTTTTCTGTCTTCTGCCTGCCATGAACTATTCTGCTGTGCAGAGCCACCCTACCCTGGAGCCAGCCCCTTAAGGACTGAAATCTCTACAAACTGAGCTAATAGACCTTTCCTCCCTTAACTTTAGGCATCAGGAATTTTGTCTCAGCAGCAAGAAAAGTAACAAAGACACATATTCAACATTTTGACTTCATAAAAATCAATTGCCCATGCAAGGAGCTCAGGTGCTCTTCTCCCAGTGTGCACCTGGGGTCTGCATTTGTGATACCTGTGGTCCATGGTCTCTGAGAAACTACTCTATGGGCAGGCACAAGAGCTTAGCAGTTACATGCACCTTTCCATCTGTTGTACCTCCTGGGAAAGTCTTTGGAGCTGTATGGGCTCCAGTCTTACCTCAGCATCCAGAGTCCCTTATGAGAGTCAAACGCTGTTCACTTGGCGGCTTGGGTGTTAGTGTGTTGCCTGGATAGAGCCCTCCATGCCCCTCTTAAATGTGTTTATAAACTCTCATGCTCTCTGCCAGCCTTCAACACAGCCAAGTGTGAGAAGCTGCAGAAAGAGAAGGAAGATCTGGAGCGGCGGTTTGAGGAGGAGCTGAGGAGGATGGGCTGGCAGCAGCAGGCTGAACTCCAGGAGCTACAAGAGCGATTACAGCTGCAGTTTGAGGCAGAGATGGCGCAACTGCAGGAGGAGCACCATAGTCAGCTGCTGCAGGTCCGGTGCCAGCACCAGGAACAGGTCAGTCTGTGGCGCAGACCTGGGCTGTGCTCTTGGGTAGCACAGCTGGCGGGCGGAGGGAACCCTGTCCTCTTCAGTGGGTGACTTTGTGATCCCGATCACACTCTGACTCCATCTTTTCCTCTGACCCCCACCACCTCTCTTCCAGTTGCCCTGGTCTTCCCAGCTGTTTCTCAGGGCTTTTGGATTTGCTGTGCCTGGAATCCTCTCCCTCCACACACTTGATAGCTTTCACTCTCTCTTCCTGGTTTTCTTCCATACCACTTTCTCATCATTTCTCAATGAGGTCTTTCCTTATCTAAAATTATACTCCCTTCCCCTATGATGAGCACACACTTCCTGTCCCCTTTCCTGCTTTAGTGTTTCTTTAGCACTTTGGACTAACATGAGCCTACTTCTGACCGGTCTATCCTGAGGGCAGACATGGTAACAGGTGGGCTCACACTCAGCCCTGCCTCTGTGCCAGGTACTGATTTCAACTGTACATACACTGACTCGCTGAATCCTCAGTCACTCTACCAGGTATGTATACCATTCTTATTGCCATTTGACAGGTGAGAAAACCGAGTCCACATGGTTAAATAAGAATTCACAGAGCTCCTTATGGAAAAGCCAGGGTGGAATGCAGCCTGCCTCACTAGTGCGTGCTGCCACACACTGCCTTAGGACTGCTTGCCAGGCTTCCTGCTACATCTTCATCCTTGGAACCATGCCTGCGGAAGTTAGGCATGAAACATATATTTGTTGAATGAACTAATGAAGGCTGATCACTAACCTTAGCTCAGCAATTTTTCTGGGCAGGGACATTCATCCAAGGTATAATGAGGGAATACTTCCCATTGGGAATATTCCTGACAATAATTCCTTGTCAGTGTGAAATCAGGTAGGAGCGAGATGTGCCCACGCCACAGCCAGATGCTAGTGCTCATCACTTCTGTGAGTACTGATGAGAGACACATAGAACAGTCCTATCTACTTCCACAAAGTCTGTTCCTTCCATCTTTCTTCTTTCTAAACCCCTAAGCTCAGATGCCTGGGTGCCCTTCTTCTAACTGCTATGTTTATAGTTTGCTTATGTTCGGGGTAAATTACCATTCATGGGTAGTGCTCTTTAAATCTCAACTGACAGTGGGGATAGGGCTGCATGGTCCTCCATTATCACCAACCTGAGTTTGATCTCCTTAGGCTGTTTCCAAATAATTATGCCATATGGCAATACCAGCAAGCTTCTTCCCCCTGCCCCAGGGGCACATGGGACACATTTCAGCCTAATAATACATACCATAGTAGTAATAAAGAGCTCCTTACTTTACAGCATTTTACTTCATACAGTGAGCACCTCATGTTAGCCATCCTCCCTGGAGGTGGATGAAAAGCAGATGCACCTGTCTGCTTGAGGTAGTTTAGTCTTAGCAACTAGGACATAGAAGAGAACACAGCTAAAGTCACCTGCTGGTGTTAAGGACAGAAACCAAAGTCCAAACATCACACCTACCAAGTGGTCTAAGTGTAACTGTTGGCGGCAGACGTTGGTACCTGCTACAGTGTCCAGTCTGGGCTCTCTCATGCTCTCAAACCTGGTGCAGATATGACCTTGTGCTGTGCTTCCGTATCCCTGGGCTGTTCATCTCCAGTGTTGCATAGAAAATATGTAACCTTCATCAAAGACTTTCAGTCCAAAGGTGTAGGCCAGCAAAGAAGGTACCACAAGTAGGAAGTGGGCAGCAGGTAGGGGAGCGGCCCCTGGATGAACCACAGAGTGAACCACATAAGCAGTGCCACTGCCAGATAGAGCCACCAGCCGCACAGCACAGCTCCTAGCCAGGCCTCAGATTATCACCTGAATGTTTTGTTAGGGTGGAGTAACAGGCTAGGTTATGTACTCTCACCTCTTGGCTAAATTGGCACACAACAACCCATCACAGATTTCAGATTCAGAGGAATTGAAAAGGAAAAAACCCTTGAATTTTTCACTTGAGCATATTTGTTAACCGTCTGTGTATGTTTTAAAAGCAGTCTTATGAGGGCACCGAATTCTGTTTTTCTTGGTTCTTTGGGGCCATTGGAGCCATATATTTATTTACTCCCTATGCAAAGAATACAGAAGGCTCCCTGTATGCAGAGCAGTGTAACAGGCTACTGCAGGAGACAGCAAGATTTATTAAATACGGGCTTGGTTATTTCATAGAGGAAGTTCAGGGAACCATAACCATGGGTGAGAAATATAGATGTGTTTGAGAATTGAGGATTGACTTCCAAGTGTGAGGATAGGGGAAGGCACTGTGGTGGAGAAAGCATCTGAATGCTCTGAGGTGAGCGGCCCTTCTGCTAGCAGCCCAGCGGTTTGGAGAACCAGCTGTGCAGATCCCTGCCTGATTCAGGGGCCTGGTTCTACTGCTGCTGCTGAGTATTGGCTGGTTCCGCAACCTCCCACTTCTTGCAGTACAGCATGCAGGATATGAGGAAGAAGAGGAAGTACACCGCCACACAGGGCTCTGAGTGTCAGCTGCTGGAGATGTCCATTGGTCTAGGGGAAAGGAAACTCAAGTGGGAGCTGAAATGGGGATTGGTCACGTGTGGTTTCAGCTATTCCAGCCTGCATTCTTCCCCACTGGGCCTTACTTCTCATGAACAGTTATGTTGATAGTGCTAACCTCAGCAGATAGCATTGCTGACTGGCCTCTCCTCCTGGCCCTAGCTCTCCATGGCCAGCAGCATGCTGTGGGGTCTGCTTCAGTTCTGACATAGAGGATTGTTTGGAGTTTGAGGTTCCAGCCTTTCCTCAAGTTGGGACTTGCTCACAAGACAAGGTGACCTCTGACTTCCCTACGGGATCTCTGTAGAAACAAATTTATCCAAATCCTTCTTGCCTAGCTGTCTACTACCACAAGGGACAGGAGCTTTCTCCCTGTTCAGGGTCTCTGCTTCAGAACATATGGGAATCAGCTGGATGACTGACAGAACAGAATGCCCACACTGACGAAATAAGAACTGCTCACTGGAGCACTAGGGTGGAGCCTAGCACAAGACTGGTTATTTATATGTATTTACTTACTTATGTTGTGGTACTGGGAATTGAACCCAGGAACTTGCTAGGCAAATGCTTTGCCACTGAACCATACTCCACAAAAGTAGTTTTTGTTATATTTTGTATATATGGTTCTCTATGTTGCCTAGTGGCCTTAAACTTAGACCTTTGCCTTGACCTCCCAATTTCTGGGTTATAGGCATGTGCCACTGTGCCCAGCGGCACTGTTTCTCAGAGCTCCCCACAAGACTAGCATGCAGACTACCTGTGTCCAGGGAGGTGCAGGACCTGGTTCCTCAGCCCAGCAGGTGCTATGCAGGAACTTGGACTGTTGGGGGGTGGGGTGGGCAGGAGGGTGACCTTTAAGGATGTGATAGGACTCTGATTTGCTGGAATTCTTACTTTAAAATTTTGATGGTAAATTTATTTAATCAAAATCAGCTCTCATTCTTTAGCAGTCTACAGATGCCAGATTCCACACATATCCATACCAGAGCATTAAACACAGATTTTCACCATAAACAAGTGTACTTCTCTTTTGTTGCTCCAAATGTAGCGGCATGGCAGTCCAGATTCCCGTCCTTCTTTCTGAGCTGCCTTTAGTTGTTTCCCAAATATATGTAGCCTCAGAGCCTGGCATTCAAGGGTTGGGGTTGTGAACTTTGTCCCTCTCTCTCTTAAGTCCAATGCAGTTTGCTTCTTCGCCAGCCACTCTGACGTCAGTTACTGGGACCTCATGTTCTTGGATATGTCACAGATTCTGCCCTGGATTCTGAGCAGAGAGTCCTGCCCTTGGAGAGTCACCTATCCTTTGGAATTTATTTTTGATTTTTCTCAGACCCAGTGTTGCAGGCAGCCAAATTAGATAGAAATATTATAGGCAGTCAAACAGGATCAGACCCTCAAAGGAGATAACACAGAAGACAAGATACCTCACAACTGTGGGAGGGATGGATGCTCCTGCTATGAGCCAGACCTAAAGACTAAAGGTCAAACAAATGCTGACCTCCCTAAAGATTAGCATCCGGGATTGATCTTCACCCTGAGAAAGCCAGGAAAAATTATCTGATGGCTACCAGATAAAGTCCTGTTTTACATTCATGCCCACTTGCTACGTGACTCGTGACTCGCCATTGAATCCTGGACTTCATCAGTTTTACCTGAGCAGTGGTGCTTGTAATCCCACTGGTTGACCATAGTTCTGTCCCACCCCACATCCACCTAAGCAAGTTCCCATTTTGTCCACCTTAGCCCCCACATGGTTTTACACTATAAAAGTCCCTGAAAGAGACAGCTTCCCCAGGGACAACCTGCTTGGGGCCCCTTCCTGTCCTTTTCTTGGACAGGAGCTTTCTTTTCCTCAATAAATATATTCTTGAGTATGTGGGAGAGCTTCTGGCTACCCTACGCTGGCAGGACCTGCCGGTCCAAGCCCAGGCGCAGCGTGGGTGAGACCCTCTTCCACCCCCTTGGGACCCCCCCACCACTCTACAGCACCCCACCACTCCCTGCCTGCTGAGTGAGAATTTCTGCCACGTTCTGGGGACCCTAGATCCAGTCCTAGCCCAGGCCCCGTGAGTGTGTGGGAGAGCTTCCTCTCACCCCTACTCCACCTTGTCCCCACCAGACTGAGCTCAGGCCTGGCATACAGGCCTGGGGTGAAACCCTGCAGCTGCAATCCCTGCAGAGAGAGTAGGGGACAAAGCCACCCAGCTAGTCCAGGAGCAGAACATCTTGCCAGAGGGGCACATCAGGTTCACTTCCAAGGGCGGCAGCAGGAAGGAGCTGAGCACAGCAGCCAGACCCAAGCCAGGCACAGCAGAATAAATCCAACCTTTGTGGATCTGCACCTGAATTTCAGTAGGTGCTAAGGTTATAACTACAACAAAGCTCTACAACAAAGGTCAGAAGACAGTGCTACACAAAATGACAACGAGAAGGAAGAAAATGCAATCTCAGACCCCAAGCCCACCCGTAACAAGTGCAGAGGACACTAACACAGAACAAATTTGGAATCATACAGCTGAAATCAATGAATCAACGGCTTCTGAGATAAAAAATAAATATATTCTTATAACCTCCATTTGTTCCTAAAATTCATTCTTTGGTTTTAGAGAACACAAACTCATCCATGTCAGGTTGAGAGATCATTTTCCTCTGTATCATTTGGAGGTTCCCTATATCACTTAGAGGTCACCCACCCAAGATCAGTTTTTCTCCTTATATCACCAGGACAGCCTTCCTATTCTTTCTTAAACAAGTGTCCTTTTAGACTAAAAGACAGGAACTGCATTCTCCGTGACTGACCTGAATGCACGGACACTCGGTCTGTCCTGCATTGTGGCTCCTGGGCCTGCTGGCTGTGCCCGCCTGCTCCAGCCATCATCGGGGAAACCACATTGATAGAGTCAGATCCCAGGGGCCCTCGCTGCTCACCCTGGAGCTTCCTATGCTTCAAGGAGGCAGTCTGGGCGACAGGGAGCCTCTGTGCATACCTGCCCCCAAGGTGGAGGCAGAGAGGGCAAAAGGCACATCCAGAATGGGACGAAGTTGGCCCGAGAGCCCTGGCATGGCTAGCTGTCTAGCCAGTGATGAAATGAGGAAGGATTCCTGGTTATTGGAGCAGGAGAGTCATTAGGAGGCAGTAAGCAGGAGCCAGCTCCCTCCCCACCCCCATCTGTTACAGACACATGTCTGGGACGGGGGCAAATGGGAGGTTAATCTGGTTTGGGCTTAATGGGAGAAACCGAGACATTATGGAGCATGTGTTTCTTCATTCAAGATGTAAGTCTTCTCTAACTGAATTACTAAAGCCCCACATAATTGCATTTTGCAAATGGATGAGTGAAGTAAAGCCTGCAGCTCTGTTCTTCCCCATCTGAGGGGATGGTTTTCCACTGCTGTACCAGCCCAGCTAAACAGCAAGCAGCAGCAGGAACGAAGTTGTATTCCAGCAAATAGCCATTTTTGCAACCACTAGGGCTGCTTAACGGGCAAAATCAGACTCCTCTGAGCCATAGCCCAGAATTCTGACTTAGTGTAGGGGGTGGAGTGTGGGCTGGTGGTGCTTCAAGAGGACCATACCCAGGTCTCTAAAAGAGGGAGTGAAGGTTTCAGCCACCATAAGCTGGCCAGAGCTTGCCAGTTCTGTTTCTGATTTTGTAATCTATAATACATACAGTCATCCTGTGTTTCCCGTGGGCCAACTTGTCTGAATCTGCTCAAATAGCTGTAGAGGGCTCCAAGGTCTTCTCAGGCTGGAGAGCCTTACTGGCTGCTTTGTGACTTTATGACTGCTCCAGGAAGGAGCTGGGACCCACAGGAGAAGGAGATTAGTACTATGGCTCGAAAGAGGATGGCCCACAGGAGACAGTATCCCCTCCTCACTGGGGAACATTCTTTTAAAAATACAAAGAGGCATAAAACCTGAATTACTGAAGATGAAGGATGATTATGTCCAACTTTTGACTCATTTTTTAAAATTTCCTAATAAACACTAATCATTCATCTAATTCTGTATCAGTTTTCAAGTTAGAAAATCAGGATTTCACTAATGGAGGCCATGGCAGATATAACATGCCCTTACATCATCCTTAATATGTTGGATGTGAAATTCTATCACCCCTTAATCAAAAACATGTCTTCTCACAAACCAGAAAAGCATACAGGTTAGCCACAGACATACTATAGCATTACCACTTGGGGCATGTTGAACCTCCAGGGACTTTCCTGTGACTTGGCCCTTCCTTCTGTGTCTCTTTTATGAACCTTCCCATGGTAAGTTATGTAAGAGCCCAATAAATTAAAAACATGCCAAGCACCAATAAAAGGTGTTTTACTGTACTAATCTGTGTAACATATCTCCAGAAAACATGCAGGCACTTGTTTCTAAACATGCATGCTGTCTATTTAACTTACATCTGTAATGGAGCAGAAAAAAAAGGACATTTCCTTTTCCTTTTTTAAAATAGTGATTTATTTTTCCAACAGATGAAAGACTTTGGACAGAGTCCATTAAAATCTCATATAAATGGAATTGTACAGTTACATACTGTTTTAACGAGCCTTTCTGAGTAGATTTATAACTCCGAACCTCAAGTAAAATACTGTTTCATCAAGAATGTCAAACAAGTAAAAATGAATCACTGTATACCAGTCCACTTTTACATTGTCCTGAGTAGTGTTGTAGGCTCTCTTGATTTTTTCCAGTAATTTTCCCATTTTAAAGATTGAAGGTCTCATTCTAAAAGAGAGAAGCTAGGCAGATTTCTCCATGAAATTATACTATCCAGAATAAGAATCTACCCATTTTAAATAAAAAAAAAAATTACCTCCATGTATCAGTGAGCCCTTATAGAGAGCCCTTCTTCTCTCTAGACCACAGAAGTAGCAAAAACAATAGATATGATAGTCAGGAGGTGGGAGGGGGAAGGTAGGTAGAGGAATCAATAAGTATCAAAGTAAAAGGTCCAAGCCTGGCTGGACACTTGTGATTAAACTCCTAAAATGGACCTTCAGTCAGGGACTCAGAAGCCTTCCCAGGAGCAGCTCAGAATCACCTGGACAGGAGAGAAATCCGAAGCATACTCTAGGGGCCAAGTTCAGGCTCCAGAATCTGGTGCCGTGGTGCAGGCCCGTCTCCCAGCCTCCACCCGGCACCCACAGGCGAATGTTGGGATGTTATTACCTTTCCTGGGTAGAAGCTGTGGGAAGCACAGTGACATGTTTGATAGATCTTTACCTCTGGGATAAGACAGATCCGGGCAGCCCTGCTAGCTCTGCCGTTTACACAACCTGTAAACTGTATGAGCCTCAGCTTCCTCATGTCTAATCTGAGCATAAAATGTCTACTTCATGAGGTTAGTCAGTAATATACAGCACAGTAATTTTTAGTTCCTTCATTGACCTGGCATAGTATGCTCCCACCAGCCGCCTCCTGTAAGGAGAAAGGATGGGAGTGGAGAGAAAGGTGGGACGGTCCGGTGGCCAGGCTAGGGCTCTGAGAGATGGCAGGAACACCCATACATGGGTGGAGACTTCTTCATAACTCCAGAGACTGCTACCTCACTAGCATGTCAGTCCTTTGCCTTGGTACCAAGCTCAAGGTGGCCATCACTTCTTGATTTTGGGGGCCACTGACTTTTTTCTTCTCATTGAACGGCACCTCTCTTGTCCAAGCAGCAAGGATATTGCTGACAAGAACTTCCTAGTTCTCGGGATAACTAGTAACTGTGACTCTCCTCAGGTTGAAGATATCACCGCCAGTCATGAGGCTGCACTCCTGGAGATGGAGAACAACCATACAGTTGCCATTGCGATCCTGCAGGATGACCATGACCATAAAGTGCAAGGTAGCTACCAGCCCTGTGTGCAGCGGGCAGAAGTGGCCACACAAGCCAAGTGCCCCCTCTCACTTGTTTCCTTTCTTGTGCATCTTTTCTGTTTGTTTCTATGAAGAGAATAAATAGAAATTGAGAATTCAGTTAGGACTGGAGATTAAGCACTTGCCTAGCATGCATTAAGCCCAAGGTTCTAACCAAAGAACAGGGGAGAAAAAAAAAAAAACCAAAAAACAAGATTCAAGTAACTACAGTGTTTTTTTCTCCAAAGCAGTTATTCTCATTCTTGCCTGAATATCAGAAGCCCTTGAAAAGCTGTACCTGCCTCGGTTACACACCCAGGATTCTGATGCAGTTGGTCTGGGCAGCACCAGGGGCATTCTGACTTGTTATAACTCCTTGAATGATTCTATGGGCCTAAACTTGAGGGCCACCACTCTTCTAAAGTAGGCATAGACACTTTGTGCTTTATCTTGTATTATAGCCTTAAAACATTAAACAGAAACTACAGAAACTCCAGTGTTGGTGTTCTCATATCTGTGGTGTTTTCTGCGCTCTAGCAGCATCCACAGGGCTTGCACTTTTTGTCCACATTTATTGTGGCTACACACTGAGTCTCCAGATCTTTCTTTCCACATTTTTGTAACTGAATTACCCTTGTGCTATGGCTTCAGCATGGTTTACCTCCCAGGGGTTCATCTGCTTCCCAGCATGGGAGTATGAGATGCGAAGGAACTTCCAAGAGGTGGGGCCTGGTGAGACGCCCTAGGGTCGTGGTGGAGAAGACCCTCGAACATGTGATCCTAGAATGTGTGGTGGAGCGCATGACCCCAGTCTGTGTGGCTTCCTGCTTGGCAGCTTGGTGATTTCTTTCTTGCATGTATACGGTGATAATCACCTTTTCATCACAATACCAAAATACCTGAAGCAACCAGCTTCGAAGGAGCAGAGGTTTACGTGGGCTTGCAGCTTCAGGAGCCCAGACCCTCATCAGCGAGCCTCACTGCACTGAGCCTGTGGCAGGACAGCACCTCATGGCAGCAGCATGTGACCAAGTGAGATCTCACCTCATGGCCAGGAAGCAAAAGAGAGCAAGGAGAGGGCCAGCGTCCCCACTCAGTGACCAAAAAGTCCTTACCAGGCCCTGCCTCTTACAGGTTCCACCATGTCTCAGTAACCCTGTGCCAGGGGGCCATGGCTTTAGCCTGTGAGCTTTTGAGGGCCATTGGAGAGCCAAACTGGAGCAGCTCCCACATGAGCAGAGCGGAGCTAATGTGAGTGCTACACCTGTGAAACTCCAAAACTGTGTGCTAAATATGCCCCTTTTCTTTATAAATTTAGCCTCCCTTAGGTGCTTCCTTATAGTAACAACACAGACTAATACACTTCAGGTACATAGGGATTTTTTGTAAATCGATAGCAGTGATGATACTAAGTTCTACTACTAAGATTTTCCCTTGTGAAGAAAGATGCTTTTTACTCTTTAACATGCATTTATATTAATATGTGCCATTTATGTTTTAAATTGCACATACTACATGTACTCTCTCCTCCATCGGCTGGTTGTTAAAGAATATGTTTAAAAATGGTGAGAAAGGCTGGCCAAATAGCTCAGCAGATTAAAGCACCTGCTTAAGCAGAATACAGGGCCTGCCATGCTGGCCCTGCCTCTGGGGCATGCTGAGATGGCAATTGAGACTGGATGTGGTGGCACATGCCTGTAATCCCAGCACTTGGGAGGCTGTAAATAGGAGGATCATTACAAGTCCAGTCTACGCAGTGAGATCCTGTAGACCTTGTAGACCCTGTCCTAAAATTTAAAAAAAAAAATTTAGCAATGAATCAACAAATTTTTAAATCTGAGAATTAACATCAGAAGGTTTTTATTATTATTTTAAAACTGTTCTTTCAAAGAACAAAATCCACTGTGCAGTGACAAGTGCTCATAGTACCTCTTATTGTCTCCCTCAAACACCAGACCCATCACCTCTGGGAGCTGTTAGGAAGGTCAGTGCCCCAGGTAGAGGTAAGAACGAATCATTTCCTGAGAGCTAGGTAAATGTATTAACTGCATCCTTGGATTATTAGTCCCCACTCTGAGCTGCACATTGGAACTATGGGGAGAATTAGGAGAAAAGTAAGAATAAAAAAGAAGCATGGATCCCACCTTTGCGTTTCCAGCATAATTACACTAGGGTACAGCCCAGGCATCAGAAGTTGTAAACATGGCCCAGGTGATTCTGATATGCAGAAAAACTTGAGAGCCATGTTGTAGAGCACAGTATTAGATAGACAGGAGTGTCGTGACCTTGAAGTAAAGACATACATCATGGGGACACAGATGTTGCATAATAAGCAGTGCCTTGTATCATCCTCAGACTAACTATTGGCTTTTGTTTTCCCATGGGTTATTGGAGTCATCTAAAAATGCTCCTTATTGTACTGTAGGAACTTGATCTCAGGAAAAGGAATACGAAGGCAAATGGTGTAATAAGCCATGACATTGCCTTTTATTTCTGAGTTTTCACATAAACAGATATAGTAGATGAATGAAATCTCACAAAGTCTTTGAATTATATATAATGTCAAGACAATGTGGTTATATGTAAGAAGAGCTTAAAAAATTCATTACCATGGTCAGGATGGTGCTCTCAGTGTCTGTTAAAACTAATTATGGAGACAGAGGTAGGCAGATCAGAAGCCACTTGGTTTTATGTCAATGAAATCAACATAAGCTTTCTTTCCACATGTAAATTTCAGCTATGACAACCAGAGTTTTCAACCTTTCCACCATTAGCTAAAAGATTTGGGTCAATGAAAACCACAAAGCTTTTGCTAATTGCATCTCATGCCAAACAAAAATGATAATTGCTGGGCTCAGATACTCTGCTGTTCTCAGCGTGACCTGGGCTGATTAAGGAGACCTTTCCTCTGTCTAGTTATAACATGGAAATAAATTGCTTGCGTAGCCAGGATGAGATGGGTTTCACCAACCTAATATGACTCCTCTCAACTGGAAGAAGACAGAATCCCTTTGCTTAATAACTGCTACATGACACTTCTTTCTGCCTAACTTTCAAATTATTGCTGTGGTGACACTTCACATAGCAATATTGTCCCAAACCCTCAGAGAGAAAACAGTCCAATTAGTCCTTTCTTCCATCTGAGTGTCTTCACACCACATTTTCGCTCCAGCAAATGCTAGCAAGCTGGAGTGCTCAGAGTGTGATCCAGAGGCCACCATCGTGTCCTCGTTGACACAGCACTGGTCCCATCTGCCCCACCCATTATCTAGTAAGGTGGCTCACCCCACACCCACTCTCCTCAGTCGGGTCTTTCACCAGCCCCAGATGACTGCTTCGTGCTGGGAAGACAAGTTCCTGGGAGGGAAAAATGGGCATTGAACGTCAGTTAATTGTTTTTGTTGTTAGGAAAAATAGGAGAATTAATGGGTGCTCTGAGCAAAGGACCTAAGTAAGGGGGAAGAGGGTGTACAGCAGGATGAAGAATCGTAAGTGTATGGATGAGCACATGTGGACAAGCGTGTGTGTGTGTGTGTGTGTGTGTGTGTGTGTGTGTGTGTATGAGTGTGCACATGTGTGCCTATGCATGTTGTTGGCCTCTCTCCTAAATTTTTTTCATCTTCCCCTTTTTCTCTTCCCTTCCCTTAGTCCTTTTGTCTTTCTTACTCTCCTCTAAGTCACAACCTGGCCATCAGATGTCATTTCAAATGATCAGAGGAATCTTCAACTTTGCATCTGCTATAGCCAGGATCATTTATTTATCTAAACTCACTAATTTGATTCTGCCAAAAGAGACTTGCTTTGTCCTTTTCAGAAGACCAACCTAATCCTCTGATGTCTTCTCTGCAGAACTGGTATCTACCCATGAACTTGAAAAGAAAGAATTGGAGGAAAGTTTTGAAAAACTGCGACTGTCATTACAGGTTAGCCTTTCTTATTTTTTCTTAAGGAACGTCTTTAAACCTGCTCGTAAATGTTTACCCAGCACCCACTGCATACTGGATCCTGAGCAAACACTGAAATACAGAGGCAAATGAGACATAGTCTTGGCCCTTTAGGAGCTGGCCGGCTACTCAGAGAGCTGTGCCACGGATAGCAGCAGACAGCAACAAAAGGCAACCAACCCACTCCTGGATCAGATGAAGGATGCGGCTGTGGCACTCCAGAAGCTTGGGGGCTTACTCAGCATGCGATGAGATCAGAGACATCCGCGCTGTGTTTGTGGAAAGGGGACACTATGGGGCAGATGAGAGTGTAGCAGGGGAATGGCTCAAGGAAAGTTGTGAAGTCAGAATGTTTGTACTTCACTTTAGAGACATTAGAAGTGGATAAGATAAAAAACCACTGGCTGCTGCATAGGGAAAGCGTTGGCTCAGATGCTAGAAGAGCTTCCCTGCTTTCCACTGGTCTCTTAAGAGGAGGATGCAAGGTCTCCCAGGTTTCATGCTCTCCAGAAACCCAGGCCAGCTATTCTGGGAGAAGCCTTTGACCATCCCCAGCCCTAGGGAGGAACCACCTAGAAGCAAGGGTGAGGTGGGTGGTCCAGTTTCATTTCCAAGTACAGAAATTGTGATCACATCCAGATTGTTTATTAAATATGAAAGATAGTTTTATTTGGAAGTTGTGGAAGATACCTCCCATAACCACAGAATATTGTGAGGGGTCTCGCTGCTTTGATGATGGTTCACTTCCCTGGCAGCATGTATCACGTGGGGCTGCCCTGCCAGAGAAGAATCTAGAATTGTGGTGCTACCCTATATCATAGCCACCGAATGCACTGCTTATAAATGTTAGGGGTTGGGAGGATAACTCAGTGGCAGAGAGTTTGTCTAACAACCATGAGGCCCTGGATCCAATCCCTAGAAAGGCAAAAAAAAAAAAAAAAGTTTCTGTCACCGAGTCCTATTGTGCATCAGTGATCATGAATTCTACATATTTTAATTGTAACACTCCACCCAACAGAATCCAGTGGGGCTGGAGACAGGTGCACTAGGCAGGGTGGACTCCCTCAGGTCCACTTCCTTCAGCTATGAGCAGCTAAAAAATAGCTAGTTTGGGTGCGTAGAGATTTGAGCTTGGAGTTTAAGTCTCTGCTGTGCCTGCTCTTTCTAACTTTGAGATCTTGGACAGTTACACAGTCTGCATAAACTGTCATTTGCCACTGTTGGAATGGGGACGGCAACAGTACTCTTTAGAAAGAAGGTATCAAAAGTAAAGAGCACTCAGGTGGGGTGGCACATGACTGTCATCCCAACCACTTGAGAGATGCAGACAGAAAGATGACAAGTTTGGGGCTAGCCTAGCAACTTCATGAGACTATCTCAAACTTAAAAATAAGAATTGCTGGGGCTTTAGCTAAGTGGTAGGGCACCCCTGGGTACAATCCATAGTACCAAAGAAGGAGAAGGGGAAGGAAAAGAAGGGGAGAGAAAGGAAAAGAGGGGAGGGAAGGAGAGTGGAGGGCAGAAGACAGGAGGAGAAGGAGAAGGAAGGGAAAAGGCAAAGAGAGAAAAGAAAGCAAGCAGTTGAAGAGAGTAGCACTGGGTTGGTTTGTGGAAAGTGCTAATAAGTCTCAGTGGCAGCCATTGCTATTATAATAGCTGCAGGCATTGGTGTATTTATGATTATCATTATTATACTACCATTTGTAGATTTCTGAGCGGTCTATACCTGATCTGGCCACCAGCTGGGTCTTTGTGCCCCTTAGCCTAACATAAAGTAACCATCCAAGTTGAAAAACAATCTGTGCTGTCTGACTGCAGCAGCACCATTCTGTCCCTGTGGGTTTGTTTTGAATAATGGCAAATAAGGCAAGAAAATCCCAGCTTGCTATTTTAGAGCTATCCTGGGTAGTAGCTGGCTGATGAGGTTTTTATTGCTCTGCTTTTCAATGGTGGGGAGGGGGTTGCAAAGACACATTTCCTTGGATTCTCAGGCAGTTCGGTGCAGAAGCCAGATAGTGACACAAGCAGTTTTGCAGCCACGTTGTGGAAGGTAGCTGCAGAGTGCTGTGGACCTGAGCCAGCCTAGTGGGGCTGCCCTGGGCCATGATTTCTTGACTCCTGTGTGTACAAATTCCCACTGACAATTCTATTGCTCTGATATTCCAGCATTTGCATTGAATGGCACTGTGGGGACTTTTAGTTCTTAAAAATGAAGTAGCTGGAAGAAAAAGACAAAGAAAATAAGTAGGGAAAGGAGCCTGCCCTGGGAGGTGTGCAAACCAGGAGACTCTACCATAATGTGCAAACCAGGAGACTCTACCATAACCAGGAGACTCTACCAAAGAAAGTGGCAGCTGTCCTGCAGGGGCCACAGTGATGCTGTCCAGAGTCTCGGAACTGACAGTGCCCTGTTGCTGTGAAGTGGTAGGGTGAGGCCAGTTCTCTTCCCAGGAAGGTGCACAGGACATCCTAGTCTCTTTGTTTTAGCCTTACAGACATGGAGTGGTGCGGTAGGGAGAGGACTATGGATGGGTGGGTAGGCGCAGGACTGAGGCTCTCCTCGGGCATCAAGACAAAGCCACTGCCCAGTGTCCTCCATTCAGTGTGGTAGTGAGAGCCATGGCTGGGGTGGGGCAGGGATGAGTCAGTGTGGTTACAGTGGGGAAGGGGCTCGACATGTCTTCAGGAGGGACCTTCTGTCCTTCAACATACACAGAGAGCTGCTCCATTGGGCCATATTCTGGGGTCAGGGTTGTCTGTCTAATGGGGAGGGTCTCAGTCTAAACAGAGAAGAGGAGACTGGGGGGCTCAGGTCTTGTGGTAGCTCCTATCAGGGATGTGCTAACTAGCTCTGAAGCCAGGAAGGTAGACGGGGGACCAGAAATGAGCAGGAATGAGAGGGACCTGGTGGAAGAAGTCACCACTACCAGGCAACCCAGGATATGAAATGTGTGAACCCAGAACAGCCTTGTCACTGTGGCAGAGATCACATACAGGTGTTCCCCAGGTCACCTGGAGGGTTATAGGTAGGAGAAGGACAGGTTCATATTTGCACTATAGAAAGAGCCTGACTTTTTCCTGGAGCAAAAGAGCACACATGCTATGCTGGGTAGGAGGCCAGGAAGAACCAGTGGAGAGGCTCTTACCCAGACGAGGAGCAGGGGTGGGAGGGAGAAGAATCCCATGGATTCCAGGGACCACGCAGCAGGCAGATTGGCCGGACTGGTCAGTGACTCATTTCTTTTGGTGCCGGTGATAAGAGGGGTCTCAGAGATAGAAGTCCAGGCTGCTATGAAGACTTGTGGCTTAAGCTTTGTGATTGAGGGCAGTTCTTGTGGTGGAAGAAGTGTTGTCCTTATAAAATCGGGACTGGCTGCCCTCTGCATACCTCTCTCTACAGGCTGCATCTAGACTAGCAGGCGTTACATGTGCTCTGTTCATAAGCCTAAGAGTTCATCTTATGTTTTTTCCTGTTCTGGTCAAGTCAGCAAGAAGGGCCAGTAGTGATATCTCCCTCCATCACGGAGACACGGGGCTCCCCCTGGATCCCTCTTAATTAAGCCTCAGGTGAAACCCTCTGAGAAGCCCCAGGGTTACAGGTCCTCCTTCCATAATGTCCTTTCCTAGTGGCCCACTCTGGCCATCTTGTTTCATTCTTTGCAGGACCAGGTGGACACACTGACCTTCCAGAGCCAGTCTCTGAGGGACCGAGCGCGGCGCTTTGAGGAGGCTTTGAGGAAAAACACCGAAGAGCAGCTTGAGGTAGCCACAGCTCTCAGGGCTCCCTGCATTGCAAGGGCCTCTTCCTCAGTCCTGGCCACACCCAGGGTGCTTGTGCTGACCTGCTGCAGAATGACAGCTGGCCACAACCTCCCCAGGGGTTTGAACAGTGCCTATCAGCACCTCTTCCCTGAGCCAGACCACCACTGTGGATTTCTCCACCAGTCTGTTCTTACACCAGGTCCCACCCTGCTCCCTCACAGGGTCCCTGGGGTCCTGTGACATGCAGTCTGGAAACTTGTCATCCTGGCCAGGGGGCCCCTCAGTGCTATTTTCCCATTTGTGCTCTAGGATGGTACAGGGTGGCAGAGTAACAGGGTGAGGAGAGCTTTTCAAGAAAAACTTGGAAAATGCCTTTCCTTTACTATAGTACGGCCAGATAAAATACACAAAAACCCCATTCCATTTGAATTACAGAAAGACAAAGAGTTGAACATAAGTATCTCCTACTGAAATACTTTCATTAAAAATAAATTTTAGTATTGTCTATCTGATATCAAAATCTAACGTATATGCTGTGTTTTGGTGGATTATATCCATCAACCCTATTCTAAGGTGACATTTTCTTCAAGGACTTTCTACTTTTTAAGCCACCTTGCTCTTTCCATATGCACTGGAGCAGGGCCTCCCTGTGGGCACAGGTGGGACCCATGAGACCCCAGCTTCCTGCTAAATCACAGCGTCTGGGGGAGCTGGCTGAAGCTGGTGCTGGGTTTCCTCTCTTGACCCCCTGAGCTGCCTCCTGGGGACAGCTTGGCAGTGTCAAATACACTATGGCCACATCTTACTCTGGCCTCCCCATCTTTGAGCTGGATTTGTAGGGGGCTTCCTTGGTAAGCTAGCGGGGCACCCTGTCAAGGCTGCTGTGAGCATCCTGTAGCTCACTGGGGCTGGAGCTGTCCGCTGAGTGGCTGGTGCAGAAGGCCACATTCAGCACCCTCATTCTGGACCGCCCTCAGTTTTTCTGTGACCCCCCACCCAAGAGTCGGTTACTCTCTGCTCCTCTAGGTAGCACTGGCTCCTTATCAGCACTTGGAAGAAGACATGAAAAGTTTGAAGCAGGTGTTAGAGATGAAGAATCAGCAAATACACCAGCAGGAAAAGAAGATTATGGAGCTGGAAAAGCTGGTGAGTAGGTCCGCTTGCTCAGGAAAGCAGCCGCTGTGATTTTCCTACTGTTGTCACTGATGGCATCATCATTGTCAGTGACCAGTGAGCCATGCCTCTTCCCTGAATCTCGCTCACACTGGAGCAGAGATTCCATGGCTGAACCTCAAGGCCTCCCTCAGGAGGTGAAGGGTCCTGCTGAGGGACCGCAACTGTGGCCTTCTTTTGTCCAACTCTGAGCTCCTCCCTTGACTGCCTGCCTCATCTTTCTCCACTTTGATTTCCCACAGAAAGGGCAAGGGCTGACCTCCTTGTCCCTGAGAGGATGTCTGGTGAGCCAGAGCGCATCATTCATGTGTGCTATGCCCTATGCGAAGCCGTTGCTCTCTTCAGCAGCTCATGGGGCAGTAGGTGTATCTGTGTAGTCATGAACCATTCCACAGATACAAGGTGGAACCTTGTGGAGGGAGACAGGTATTTCACCTCTACCTAGTAAGTGGCCAAATGTTCCAAACCCTTCCATGGCAGAAGGGGCAGGAGAACCCTCTGGGGCCTCTTTTATAAGGGTACTCATTCCAGTCATGAGGATCCAGTCACTTCCTAGGAACCCCACTTCTTAATGCCATCACCTGGGGGTTAGATTTCAACATACCCATTTTGGAGGGACATGAACTTGCAGTTCATAACTGAGTCCTTGTTCTCACAAGCCTTCACCTTAGCCAACTAGCAGCCAAGTGATCCCCTAGGAAAACAGCACCCCACATCTCTCTCCTCTGGGTTCAAGGCCCAGACTCTAGGGAATGGTGTCCAGAGTGAGGCGTGGAGATGCCTGCCTTCATGAGATGCAGGCCTTTCTTCACTGTAAGGTGACCAATGGTCTAGATTGATTCTATATTATTATTATTATTATTAATGCTATTTATAAAGCAAACACTTGCTGCTATAAAGGAAATTGTACAATTATAGAAAATTATGAAATGAAGTAAACAAAACTACAAAAATTAGATCATATTCCTACCATTGTTAACACTTCTCAGAGCTGCTTCTTGGACACACACACACACACACACACACACACACACATTATTGCACCATACAAGAGTTCTGTAGCCTACTTTCTTGCAGTTAACAAGCCTCTAACTTGTCCTCTCAGGTTTTGAAGTGCTCCATTGGGCTCTGGAATGTCCTTTGCAGCTGGTTTTTGGAGCCCGAAGCTGATCCAGGAGCACCTGCGGCCCTTGGTTCTCAAAGCCCTCTCTGCTTAGTACTGTCCTCCCCGGAGGCATGTCTAACTGCAGGAGTGCTTGTCAGGTAGCAGACAGACTGCAGTGTGTCTGTTACCAGCATCCTGGGGTATGTGGCAGTCTCAGTTACTCTGCTCTCATCGGGACAAATACCCGACACCCAAAATGAAGGAAGGAAAGGTTTATTTAGCTCATACTTACTGGCAGTTTCAGCCCATACTCAGCTGGCTCCAAGGCAGGCAGGCACATGGCACAGGGCAGTAGTTCATGGTGGCGATAAAGAGCAAAAGCAAAATGGAGGAGTAGCAGCAACAATGGCAACGGACAGCAGGTCTGTCTCCCTTAAGTTGCATTCAGGCCATCTGCCCCAGGCTGGGGGAAGTACTCACACCCATAATCCCAGCAGCACTAAGACCCATGACCCCAGTGGATCATGGGTTAATCACATACTCTAGAAGTCCCCGCCCTATGACTTCATGAGGCTTTGGGGGGACCACTAGACACAAACTATAACATTGGGCCACCTGACATGCGCCAGCAGCCCCAAATTCCAGACACCTGCCAGAGCCCACAAGGAACACACAGAAGAACCTGTCCCCTCCTGACTGGGCCTGCAGTCTGCTTAGTGTGGGGACTTAAATGGCACTGGCTGTCCTCCTTGTGGCCAGACTGTGTGCCACCCTCCTTGTGGCCAGACTGTGTGCCACCCACACACCCCTGGGCTTATCAGGCTGTTTTTAGCCATATTCCAGTTTTATCACAGGCATGCATGACTTCCCCTCCCTGCCTTTCTAGGCAAATGAAGCTACTTGCTTGTTCCCCATTTCCTGGGAGCAAAGATGAGGGCCAGGCTCCAAAAAACCAGCTGCAAAGGACATTCCAGAGCCAAGGTGGGGCCCCTTGCTAAAGATCAGGGACAGAGGCTGGCCCTGAGGCTACAGTTCACAGCCCCAATCATGGGTAAGTGGCAGTTTTTAAAAAAAGATTAGCTGCATGAACAGTGAATGTCACAGTCTTTCAAAAAAATAATTTATTTCTAAATTCATCTTAGAATGGAACTGTGCTTCAGCTAGGTCTCAGGCCCTAGGGATACAGGTAGGAAAGTGGCATAAACTGTAGGGGAAATTTATGTCCTATCAACTGTAGGCTGCTGGAATTTTCTCATCCTGTGCCAAGCTGGTCTTCGGCTTTGTGTTTCTGGCTGCCCATGGGATCAAAAGGAAAAAGTGTGCCCATACTTTTCTCATTTCTAGGCCTCACTTATTCAGGGGACTCGGAACAGGACAGTGTGTGCCTGCCTGGTCAGAGTCACAATGCAATCTGGTTAACCCTTTGGGAAGAACCACAAGACCCACAGGTCAAACTAGATCCTGATACTACCCCCGGATTACCTCTGAAATTTATGGACTAAATGTACAGCATTTACATAGGGACTCACTACAAACATATCCATACAACAAATGAAATAAAAATATATTTCTAAAATGTACATAGCAGTGGTCACTTTTACTACCTACAGTACATGCTGGCATTTTCTGTTCCGTTTTATTTTCTTTAAAACCGAAATATCAGTCACATCCCTCCGACCTGATTTTACAACCCGAGTGCACTGCAAGCTACAGTTTGCAAAATGCTCTTCTTGATAATCCCACAAAGCCCAGAAGCCAAGGGTGCTGCTCAGCCTGTGGCCTTGCTGACAACCTCTGTGTTCCTTCTCCTTTACAGGCTGAAAAGAATGTGATCCTGGAAGAAAAGATCCAAGTCCTCCAGCAGCAAAATGAAGACCTCAAAGCAAGGATTGACCAAAACACAGTTGTCACACGGTAGGTGAGCCTGGCCTCTGGGCTTAGGAATGGGTCACCCTGGAGGTGGCCGTACCCTCCGGCTTTCTCTTGTCTCTTGTGCACTTTGCCTCACGCTGAGCTCTCAGGCTTCCCCACATAGTCGTTTGGCTTCTCCTCTGGCCAGAAGCACAGAAGCACGCGCAGATGTGACCACGTTGGCTGTGCACAGGTGGCATGTCAGTGCCAGCCCCAGGAATGAGTGCAGTCAGCAGAGAAGCCAGCAGGGACCCCCGACGGCACTCGGGGTTCAGGAATTTATTTCTGGAAGAGATTAGAAGAGCAGTGGTGGGATGGTCCCAGACAAGGTGGAGTCACTATTAAGTGACACCCTTAGCCTTCCCAAAACCTGTCATTTCCATCTTGCCCTGCCTGCAGCATCTGCTCTGGGGAGGCTCGATTCCCAGAGAGAGTATGTACTCTTCCCTGCTGCAGCTCAGCGCTGGATGGAGGCATGGTGCCCATTTTCCCTGCCAGCAGGAGGTTCTCATACCCACAGGGGCGGAGGCACAGTGGTGCACCCCAAGCTTGAGCACTGGCCTTCTCTCCTGGACTGGGCTCCTGGGTACATCTGTAGTGTGTGTCTTACATCATCCTGTCTCACACACGCACACGCACACACACACGCACACACACACACTGAGGCAAGACATGCTCATGTGTATACTTCCACCTACACACACACCACAGGCACGCGTGCATTCATGCATGCCTGCATTCACACGTTCACAGCCACCCATGCCTACTTTCATGTGCCTCCGTGCTTTCAGGCTTGCACACACACACACACACACACACACACGCTTATACACACACATACACACCATTGCCTCCACAGTGACCTCCTGCTGTCGATGTTTTGTTCCCACCTCAGAGGCACATAGGTCAGAGCAGCAGGTCTCATCATCCCTGCCCCGTGGGTCTCTGGTCCTGAGAAAGGATGACAGGCTCGTTAACCTCACTGTAGACACAGCCTAAGAGTGGAAGGAAGTACCTGAGTAGTACTTAGCCCTGGCAGTGTTGAAGGCACTCTCGTCAGTTCTGGCTTTGTCCAGAGAGGCACCTTTTCTGGGCCTCAGTATGTGCAGCTGTAAAATCAGTATGTACTTATTCTGGTCAATTTCTTAAAGGTGCAGTTATTTCAAAAATATACAACAAGGGCCAGGGAGATTGCTCAGTGGTCTAAGTGCCTGCCTGGCAAGCACAAGGACCTGGGTTCAATCCCTGGCACCGTATGCCAGTGCTGGCCCCACACCAAGCCGGCCACCAGCCGTGGTGGTACATGCCTGTAATCCCAGGGCTAGTGTGATAGAGACAGGAGGAGCACTATAAGTCTGAGCTGCATAGTGAGACCCTGTACCAAATAAGTAAAAGAATATATGACAGAAGGCAAAAAAAGCACTTATGGTGTTTCGTTAATAGTTCCTCATCAGTAAGCATTAACCATGTATCTGCTATGCGCCAGGTACCCCGTTGGCTGCTGGAAAGGCGACATGCAGAGCCTGGGACCTGTCCTCAAGGGCTCTGGCAGGCAGCCAGATGCACAGAGCAGCTTCTATACTGGGGCACACACCTGCTGTCATGGAGGCATGCTCTGGGTGGAAGGCCAAGGGAAGGCACCCTCAGCTGCCTGATGGCCACCGCCAGCCTGTGTCACGGTCACACTGCCAACACCATGAGGCTCCCGGTGCCTGAGCCTGCTGTGGCACCCCCACACTGCTGCCCATGTGCTTCTAGTCTTTGCTCTGTCACTGGACAGCCTGTAACCTTGCGGAGGACCTATGAGATGATTTGGTGTGTGGAGATAGGCTGTGGCAGTGGACTCTCAGCAGTCCACGAATGATGCTTCAACCAAACGTTGGTCCTTGGGGCAGACCGGTCCTGTTCTGCCTGCAGGCACTGGCTACCTCCTGCTGCACCACGCACCACCCTGGACCTAACCTCAAGTTATGTGTCATTAGTGCGCCTGCTGTGTGACTGCTTGTTATTCTTCCCCATACAGACAACTGTCAGAAGAAAATGCTAATCTCCAGGAATACGTGGAAAAAGAAACCCAGGAGAAGAAGAGATTGAGCAGAACCAACGAAGAGCTGCTTTGGAAGCTTCAAACAGGAGACCCAACGAGCCCGATTAAACTCTCCCCCACTTCTCCGGTTTACCGAGGCTCCTCCTCAGGGCCCTCCTCTCCAGCCAGAGTCAGCGCCACACCCAGATGACGTCATCACGCAGCCTGCGGGAGCTCGGGCTTCCGTCCACCCTGGGGAATGCTGACCAGGTGCCGGCAGGTGCCGGCCAGCTGCCCTGCGCGCATGCTCAGTAGCTGCAAACTGCATCCCAGGCAGTATCCTCTTCTCAACCCTGTGTAGACGGACCCAGAACTGGCACTTAGGAAGATGTAAACAATAGTCTGATGTGCAAAAATGTTTTACCATAGTTAGAGCCAAAAGAAAGATAACTCCAATTGTTCTTGAATGATGAACTTTCACTGCAGAATTTCAGGTTAGTTACAAATAGCTCAGTTTTGAATATACATTGAATAATCATTGTGTACTGCACCGAGATGTGTATATATTTAGGTACACGTATATACACATGCGGCGGTTCTGAATTGCATTTTTTATAATGTGATGTGCTGACATATTTTAGTGAAGATCAGCAGTTTTCTAACTTGTGCCTAAGGATTATTGGGAAATGAAAATGCATTTCTATCTAGCTTCCCAGGAATATTTCTACCCAAAATAGAAAAAGGAAAAAAAATCCAGATACAGAGAAGAAGCGCCTTTCAATGTGCCACCAAGTGGCACTCTGTTTAACACAAACACCAGCGATTTGTGAACGGTAACTGCCTTTGGAACAATCAGCTTCTTAGTCGACATGACGTGAGGTCACTATCATTCCATTCACAAGTTTTAATTAGGAATCCTCCTGTCCTGAGTGGATAAAGGCTAGAAGTGAGAAACCCGAAGGAATTCCGTAGTTTTTCTGACATTACTCATGATAGCAACTCATTTGTAGCCATGTAAACACAGTTATGCTTTTTTCCTAAATGGCATCTTGGAACCAGTCACTGAGGTATTATTGCACTCTTGGGGAAAACATAGACAAGCATGACCTTTCAGAGTGACATGACTAGAACCATCAGGTCCCCCCACCAAGAAGGACACTGCTGATAGGGTACCTGTCTGACCAGGTAGAGTTAGAAAGCATTCTCCATTCCATTTGGTGTACTCTGATACAATGCTGTACATGGTCAACTTGTTGAAATGTGACCCTCAGGCCCTATTTCCTAGGTGACTCCCCCTTCAATTCAGTTCTACAGGTCAACCCCACCACTGTATATTGACATGGCTCGGGGGTTTTGGCAGGGACTTCTGGAAATCCAACCTTCCTGTCCTGGAGGACCAGTTCTGAAAGGTGCTAGATCACCACTTGACCTCTCAGAAACTCAACTGTACTTTCTGCAGGATGATCAGGGAGCACTGCATTTATCAGTGGTCCCATTGTAGCCCCAGAAGGTTCTCCCAAACAGGAGCCAATGGAACCCCAGCCAGCTGCCACGGGCGACTGGACTGGCCTTTGTCTCTGAAATCATAGAATTAGGATGTGAAAGGTATTTCCGTAGTGCTGTGGAAGACTAGGAGCATGATGCACAGAAGAGTAGTTTTAACAGTTAATAGGGTGACGATAATGATGTCTTTGTTTCCTGCATATGACAAAGACCCCTGCACTTCTCTCCCTAAGATCTCTGAATATCGTCAGAGCACAGGCCTGTCTTTAAGCATGTCCAAGGCGAAAGAACTGTGGAGCCTGGAAGCAAAAGCCCGTGAAGGGGTGAAGAGGTTGGCTTGCCTAAAGTCACAAGTGTGGTAACATGGAAGCAACTATGGTCTGTGTACCTCAGGTGACTCCAGGTTGGTCTTCTTGGCCTCTGATCCACCTCATTTCTAGCAAACCTCCAAGGGGCTTGCCCATTCTGGGGACATACACAGTAGATACACATTGAAGAAACAGTTCTTTTCCTTTAGTGGCTCTGCATGATACTGTGATAATGAGTTGGGCATTCTGTTAGTGTAGATCAGGCCCCATCAATAAATACATGATAATTTATTCTTCTAGCAGGTATAGCCTGCAAACACAAGTTTGGTTGTAGCTTAGTTCTCCAAATTAGGACCTGCTTCTATAACCGCACCTGCTAAATGCAGTTACACAGCAATACCGACTTCAGTGTGATGTTAGAATGTGGTACAGTGTGTTAGGCTGTTGCGGTCAAAGTTGTAGTGGTATTAGAACTAAGTAGTCCCTCACTAGGTGGGCTAGAGCTTTGCCCTAACCAGCCCTGACCTTGGGCACTTGGGTTAATTTCCGTGCGGCCCTGGCCTTGTCTTTCTCATCATGAACACCCATCGCGTGTGGCTCCTTGTCTGAGTCAGTACTGCTCCTGAATCACAGGTGATGGTTGCTGCTGTGCCTCCTCCTCCATAGTCCACCCTTCACCGTTAGCATTTGGACCTCTCTCGGCACAGAGATCTGCCTGTCTCTCAGGCTGGCGCACTGCATCGTATATAACAGCTGCAGCCTCCTTGCTTGCTTCCGACAGACCTGGAAGACAGCTTTGGTCTCTTTGTGCCCTTGGCAGACCTGTGCTGGCCAGTCCCCACCCTCTGCTTGCCACAGGCTGGGAGGAGGCACTGCTGGATATGAGGATGGGATGGGGGCTGGCACTGTCTGGGGTAAATGGAATGGGTTCACAATGTTCCTCTTCCTGTCCCTCCAGTTTCTGTGTTGCATATTTGTGTTTAACTCTGAAATCTATTAAAATGAACTTGAGGGACTTTCTGTTATATCCACCTGATGTAACCCAAGATTTGTCCTTGTCAGACTGGGCAACCACCCTCAGGCAGGGAGGCAAGGGAGGTGGTTGCAGACTGGGTTTCTTTTCTGTGTGTGTGTGTGTGTGTGTGTGTCTTTGTGTCTGTGTAGGGTCAGCAGACCCTCTGTCTACAAACTCAACAGGACCAATGTCCCTGCATTTACCCCTTGAGGCCAGAGTTTTGAGCAGCCCATTTCCTGGACTTGGGGAGCTCAGTGGCTCTGCTCTGCCCAGCTGGGATGGGCTGTAGTTGGTTGGAAAGAGGTCACAAAAAACTGAGTAAAATCCTTCACTGTTTATGTCAAATTCTGTCCTAGGCTCTACCCCAAGGGGAGTTTGATCCAGCCACCTCTGTTTCTGCCGTCATGGCCCTCCTGAGGTGCCATCCACACTGATGAGGGATGCAGGCTACTTGTGATCTGTGGTCGCCTCTCCCATGCCCCAAATACAGCTAGGATACCTGTTCACCCACCTCAGCCCGAAGTGCTCGCTCCTCCCCATCTCACTTCAGTTTGGGCTGCCTGGCCTCGGAGAGTCCCACAAGTGCACTGCTTGGGTCCACAATGGATCAATCCCTGGGTTTGCCAGTTTCTTAGGGTGGCTTTGCAGGGCATGAGAGTGGCAGTTACTTTAGAGAAAGTGCAGCAATTCTACCCTCATGAGCAATGGCTGCAGGGACTGTGTAGAGCATACCTGTGTTACTTCCTGACCTCATAAACGACACCCCTGAGTCCCCTTCCCAAACATCTGTGCTTCCCAGATTATTGGTAGTGACGCCCATTGACAAATGCTTTTATTTGTGAACATGTCCCAATGTATTCATTTTTCTAGAATGTCTTCACTGCCCTTCCCTTTCTTGGTAGCCACTTTCTACTGTCCTGGTCATCCACCCTGGGCAGTCCACAGGCACATATCAGCACCTCTATTTAACACAGGAGCCATCATGTGGTGACCCCTCCCGTGATGTGCAACAGGCAAAGAAGACCCCTGCAGTCAACTCCTCTGTCACCTTTTCTGCACCAAGGGGCCTTGGGGAATGCAGCTCTCCTGCGTGGGAGGTTTGTGTCTGTCATCAGAAAGAATGCAAGGGTGGAGCTGGATGGCTTCCCACCTGGAGCTGGAGCTGAAGGTCAATTAATTCTCAACACTAGTGTGGCATCAGCGCAGGGACACCAAGCAGCGACTGACACCAGGTCACACTGTCCTCTCACTCATGATGGCCTGGGGCTGGGGGGGAGGCGCCCTCCAATGCCAGTGACTTCATCAAATATTTAAGTGCAAACACCACCTCCAACAACAACTGGCCAGCTCTTCTAGTTGTAAAGACTGGGGGAGTTAATTCACTTACGTTACACTAGCTACATACCCTTTAAGAGCCAGTCTGCCTCTCTCAACCCACTAGCCCCAATCATAAAAGCAAAGGGTTTCTGAATGCCAAACTGTTCACTCCCATCTCAGCGCAAGAGGCCGCCATTTGCACCGGGAAGTGTTGCCAGCACCAGCAGGGCAGGAATGCTCCAAGGGTCTAAGCACGTGTGCACAGGACTCTCCCCTCCTAGGAGCCGCTGCCTCCTTGGCTCTTGGGCAGCCACGCCACAGGCACCAGAGCAAGCTCCATTGCACAGCTGCTGCCTGTGGTTTCTGTTTGTGCCCAAGTTAATGTGGCAGAGAGTGGGCTGCGTTCCTTCACCGTCCTGCTGTGCCAGAGGAACAGTCTCCCATTGCTGGGAGGGATTTTTATTTATTTTATTTGACTGAGAATTTAAAAGCCTTTCTGGCAGAGTCAGCACAGCCCCTTCCTGCATCCCCTCAGTCATCAGTCCCCTGAGGTTGGGTGTTTGCGATGCCCAAGTGCTTGCTTGGGCTGTTTTTTTTTTTTTTTTATTCTAGGGAAAGGTCTACAAGGTGTTCAGGGTCTCACTACTAGATCAGACTCATGGTGATTCTCCTGTTTACAGCCTCCCAAGTGCTGGGATTACAGGCTCGTGCCACCATGCCCAGTCTGAGCCACCACGCCCAGTCTGAGTCGTCATCTCAGCGCGCCCCAGGGGCAGGGCTGAGATCGAACTCCCAGGTCCTGCATCTGCTTGTCGGTGTGTGTTAATCCACTGAGCTATTTGGCCAGCCCTGTGCAGTTCATTTTGCAAGGAAAGGCATTGCCAATTTTACTCCTGAAGTCTCTGCTCACCTTGCACTTTTTATGGCTGTATTTACAGCATGATGGACAGGCTTAATTTAGTAAAAAAGTAATTTCACTGGGCTTGACAGGTTTATCCACAGTTGGCCCTGTCCCTCCCCACTGCAGCCCCCATGCCTAGGTCTGTGTGGTGGCTGATGGGTTTCAAAGGCCAGGACAGTTTGCCTGGCTACAGCTCCCTTGGATTCTTGTTCCCTTGCATACTGAACTGTTTGAGGGCAGCCTCTGATCCACCAGAGGCATTTCATAAGCAGATGGGGTGAGAAGGCTTGCTTGGGGGTAATATTCCCTCAGGCCTGCAGACTAGAATCGCTCAGCACGGGTTGGGGGGACCTCAGTCAGTTTTCTAAGAAATTGCTCAAAATCTGCAGCCCTTCAAGCAATCCGCACAGCACTGCATGTCAACCGCTAGATGGCAGTGTGGTGCTGCAGGAACGGAGGTTCCACGTTGCACTTGGCCTTTGCCAAGTTGGTTCAATGACTGGAAGTCACCTTCTTACAGGACACAAGAGGACACCCAGGAACGTGGCTTGCCCCATGCCTATTTTCCAATTCCAGAATGCATGAGAACTCTGGGATTCTTTGTGAAACCAGCCGGTTTTGCAAGATAGAGACTAGACTTGTTCATCTCCCAAGTGTGTCCAGAGATAATGGAAAAGAGAGCGGAATACTCTTGTTCACCAGACGTGCAGAACCACCTCATTTTCAGGCCACCCCACTCCCCAAGCTGCAAAGAAACAAGAGGTCTATGCGGTTTGCTCCAATACAGATTCTCATCATAGTCCTGAACATAAACATGCTGGGCCCCTGGAAGACAGCATCTGCAGCCCTGCTCTATCCGTCAGCCAAGCAAACCAAGGTGAAACCTTATCTTGCAGGTAACCTTATCGCCCAGTATAGTTCCTAGGGGTCATGGCTCTGTTTTGGGATTAAGATCACCTTGCTGAGTATGCCTCCTATGTAAGACCTGCTCTTGCTCCAGGTAGCTGGGGAAGTGAGACGCCAGCAACTGTCAGGATGGCTACAATCCTCCCCCGATGCTCCTGCCCTCACACGCAACTTGTTCCCCCAACAGTGTGGTGGGCGTCGGCGAGGGAGGAGTTCCAGCTGAGACCCAAGTCCTCCAGTACGTGTCCGATGGCCAGTGACCACTGGGTCCCCATATTCAGGCAGGTCTGGACATGGGGTGGGAGGTGGGAAGGAAACAGGAGCCCAACACCCAAAATGAGGGTGTGGGGGGATTCCTTGGCTGGGGTCCAAGGAGGCGGAATGAGGACTTCCCCCAATGGCTGCAAGAATGCAAGGCCCAGTGAGGAAGGTGGTGAGATAGGGGGAAGTGGGAAGATGTTGAATCTTCTGTGGCAGGGCAGGCGTGGGACCCAGCCAAGAGCAGATCGAATTCCTGAGATGACACAGTCCACACAGAAGCCATAAGAGACTTTATTAGGAACAGTAGAAGCATGAGATAATGTACCACAAAATAGTTTGATTTTATAACATAAAGTATGGTAGGAAGCTGTCAATATACAGTGTGGTCAGCAAAACAGGGAAACAGAAGTTTCACATTTTTTAAAGGTGATGGGTAACACCTGTACTTGTCCTTAAACTAAAATATAATAAATGGGAGGGGCCCAGCAGAGACCAGTGTGATTTGCCATTAGCATCAGGATCTAAATCTAGTATCGCCAGTATAAGAAACTATAAGAAAAATATTAGAAAAATAGAACATCAAACAAGCGAAAAATATCATATAATTTACATAATAAAAAACACATTAAGTTTTAATAATGGCTCCACATTCAGTAGAAGAAAAAATTTACTGGAGAATCCTTAGCTGTCCAGGTTTGATAATAAACCAACCCTTAGCGTCAATATCATGACCCTTTGAGATCCTCTAACCCACGGATACTGAAAGGCACAAATGAAGCAGGAAACTTATCTTAAATATATATTAGAACTTCTCCCATGGGAAAATAAGTCTCAAACTTTGAAAATTTGTCATCAAAAAACATGAACTCATATGCCTAGTTAACAAGTTAACAGAGTCTGAACACATCGTCCCAGTCCTGCTTCTGGACCCCGCAGGAGGCACTAAGACCCTGAGAACATCTGCTGGGACCAGGTCTCCAGAGGCTGTGCAGTGGCACACACACACAGGGTGGTCCACAAAGGCTCTTGGGTAACCGTGAGACTCTTCTCTCTGGGAAGAGGGCCTGTGGTTCACTCCAGCAGTGGGCACAAAAAGGCTCTGGGTTAGTGATGAAGATGGGTGCGAGCGGGCAAATGTCTTCTTGCCTTCCAATTCCAACAGGCATCAAAACCATGACACCTGGAGCATCACATTTTGTGCCACTGCATCCATAAAGCATTTTGTGGCCCCATAAAAGTCTAACAAAATGTACATTTTGCTCTCCCTTTGGAACTTTACATAGAATACTCTCACTATAATGGCAAAAGGTAGAGTTTAAATTATATGTAACAATTACATGTAACACACATTCAGTTCTGTTTCAGCTTGAACTTTGTACAGTTCTATACCCAGTGCCAGGCATCTTCTGCCCAATGACTCCCTTGTCCTGGCAGCTAAGGAGCCCATGAATGTGGGGCCAGCCACGCCTCTCCACAACCTGAGACAGGCCCCTGGCACTTAGGTCCCTCACTCTACATGGCATCAGCCTGCTGAAGAAGCAGGTGTCTGTGTGAACAAGGGGCACTCAAGTCGGACAAGATGCACCCTGGCAAGCAGCTGGGCAGGTTTTCTCTAGCATGGAGGGTTGCACATCACGTAGCACACCCATCCTGTCTACGAGTCTGGGTGGGGCCCCCATAGGGTGTGTCCACACACTCAGAAACCCCACTTCCTCTAAGCTTCACCCTGAGTCAGGCAGAAGCCCACACCAGCTGGAATTGCAGCCTTAGGGCTGGGGACGGAGGACAATTATTCATTTCCACCTGTGCCCCCAGCCGTGCAGCTGGAGCACTTGAGACACAGTGGGGGCAGGTCACCTGTCCCCTGAGGATGCACTGCCAGTGGGGACTGCACTGGTGCCTTGGGGACCAGAGTGGGTGGAGAACCCCAGCACTCCTCCAGTCACTGCTAGCTGGCCATGTCACAGGAGGTGCCTGAACCACATCAACAAATGGGACCAGATGGCTGACTGCCAGATGGAGATAAGAGACCTGATGCAAAGATTTTTTGCTGTTGCAAAAACAAAACACAAAGTGGAGGAAATCTGGGCAATCCTAACAGTATACATTGAGCAATTCTTCTGAATCAGCCCGGGAAAGAGTGCCCCATTCTTTCCTCTTAGTTTGAAAGACAAACTCTGATCCACAGGGGCCTGCCTGAGGGTGTGTGTGTGTGTGTGTGTGTGTGTGTGTGTGTGTGTGTGTGAGACCATGGCCCCATGTCTCCAGGACAGTTCCTCTCCATGGCAAAGCCCCCAATCTACTGGGGCCCTACTCCTGCCCCAAAGGTGCCCTTCACCCCCACTTTTCAACAGAGCTCCTGGAGAAAGGGATTTCTGCTGTGTTAGGTTCTTCATGAATTTGAGCTGAGACAGCAAAGATGCCTGCTAATTGAAAATAGCTCTCTAATGGGACTCTTTGGGGCTGGGGCAGGAAAACTGGGCTCTATTCCTTCAGGATATGCATGTCTTCAGAATGTGTAAAGTTCTGACAGTAGAAAATACTGGCACAGCCATGCAACTCAGAATGATACTCTTATTTGGGCAAAGGGTTAGGAAATGTGAAACTACTGGTCCCTCTTGAAGCTTGAGAGAGGGTGGCTGCACATGTTTTTACTTCAGGAGAAAGAGTAAGGGATGTGACAGTCTATTGAAACCATGAGGCTCACGCCAATGTCTGTTTCTGGGCACAGTGGGAAGGCCCTGGCCACAGTACCCACCTGTTCGTAAAGAAAGCACAGTGACCAATACATTATTCCTATGTCACTGGGAGTCCTGTCCTGACTAGGAAGTCATTCCTCTAACAAGGGAGGGTGCAGGAATAGCACTGCCCCGCCCCCACGCGGGTGTGAGCTCCTCAGTCCATGCAGAGGCGCCTGAGCGAGGAGAGGAGGAGGGATTCCCCACTGTCGTCAGAGGCGCCTGAGCGAGGAGAGGAGGAGGGATTCCCCACTGTCCTCATATCAACCTGAGCGGCTCAGTGGAGGCGCAAACCCAAAATACATATTTCAACTTTGTAGAACAATGCAGGTTGTGACCTGACTCAGAAGTATAAATGGACCACTGGTGGTGCTGTCTCATACAGAAATTTCAACTAGAAAAAAATTAAAGCTAAGAAATATTTTCCCACTACCTACCTCACTGGATACCCTCTCCCCCATCTTTATCTGCATAGAAAAATGATAATTAAAGAATCAGGCAAACAAATAGCTAACAGGTTGTAAGAAAAAAAACAGATAACTGAAACCCCAACAAAATAAGTTAATATTTATCAAAATATTTTACAGCACCAATCTACACAGATTTAAATACCTTTCTTTGGAAACTCAAGCTTTGGGGGGTCAAGGAATGCTTGTGACTCTCTAAAATATGGATGACCCTCAGAATAAAGGTCTAAGCGAGCTGGTCCAGGCCCAGCACAAAGGTGTACTTCTTGGCTGTGTGGCCATCCTCCAGCGGCTGGACGACCTGTAGGCTGTTTCATGAATTTATCTGCCAGTGCTGCTTTTGAAGCCCAGATGTCCATTCTGTCCCCACCTCTTCATGGTGTCTAAACTGCTGGCCTCCCTCACACCACATCCACATCAGCCTTGCAGCCTCTGAACGGTGCTCTGCATGGAAATGAGGCTCCATCACGTTCTCTTGTCCCATGGCGTCAATCTACAAGGAGTGTCTGACACGGAATTGACCGTGGGCCTCACATGAACTACAGGGAAGGGGTGGGATACAGGGTGTATACAAGGCAGCCGCAGAGGGACGCTGGCATGGCAGCTGGACCCATAGCCCCCAGACCTACTAGGGAGGGACAAGATCCAGGTCATGTGCAGCATCTCACCAGTTTGCAAAGCCACAGCATTTATAAGACAGATGCATGAGAGGGACAGCAACAGCCCTGCAAGTCATCTCCCTTGTGGACCACACACCGTGAACCACGTGCCTATGGCATGTGGTAATTTGGCCATTTTTCAAGTTAACATCAAGCCCAACTTAACTGGGTGGAGTAATTCATGGCAACTAATAGGAGGATTCAATCTGATTACATGAAAGAGGCCACACAGACCAGGTCAGGGGCCTGAAGCATTGCGAACCCATATGGAGCTGCCACCTGTCCTGAGAAACTTTCAAGACTCATGAAACTCAGTGGATGGCAAAGGCCCAAGGAAAACAGAGTTCTCAGCTCTGCCAACTTGAGACCAGTCCTACACAAACACAGTCTCATGTTCCAGTTACTCAGAACACACAGGCAGTGGTGACAGACACAAAAGCAGCAGGAACTAGCCTAGTCTTGGAGGGAAGGCAACTGGAGAACGCCCTGGTTTATGCTCACACAGGTGAGCAGAGTCAGCCCCCCCCGCCCTGATACTTCCGTTCTCACAAGAGCCTCCCCTCCTCCGTGCAAAGACAGATCCCCGGCCCTCAATCCTGCATGGACTGGGTCCATCCATCACCACGTCAGAACAGAGCCCTGTCAGGAAGGAAAACGGTGGGGAGCAGCCTCATCCTAACAACCCAGCTGGATGCATCCCAGAGGGCAGGCGTAGCTCTAGGGATGGCACAGCTGGGGCTCTGTGGTACTCATCCTGGATCTAGGGCCAGCTGTTCAGGGGACAATGGCTACTAGAAGTCTGAGGTCTATACATTTGTAATACCAGCGTAGTCCAGGGAGAGAGATCTGTTCCCATGGCAGGAGACAAGGATCTCCTTTCTGCCCAAGGGTGCAGCAACAAGGATGTGCTGGGAGGGCAGGGGTTGATTTTTTCATTCAAAGGGAAGCAGGAGACAGGTAGCCAGCCACAGCTAGGTGGCCTGGATCAGGGAGCTGTCAGAGATGTCCAGGGCCTCATGAGCTGGCTGCAGGGCCAGGTCTGGCCAGGCACACTGGCTGTGGCTGAGGCTGCAGTTCAGTCGGCTGCACCTTTGGTGGCACTGGGGGTGTCGCAGATATGGGTGGGTCCGGCTGCATCAGTAGCGAGAGGGAGGTACCTCCCTGTCCTCTGTGGCTGTGGCTGTGGCTATCCCTCAGGGCTGCTGCCACCTCCAGTGGGCAGGGCCGCAGGTCACTTGCACTGATCCAAATTGCCATCAGGAGTCCTTGCCTGGTCAGCAGCCAGGGATGCCTCCTCGCTGTGCCACAGCCCATAGCCGAAGTAGATGATGAAGCCTGCGGGCCAAGACAGAGAAGTGGCATGAACAGAGCGAATGGTGCAGCCCCTACACATTGGACTTGGAACCATAGAAGGCCACCTATCAGGGCTGCCCCCATAGCTGTGGAAACATGGGTCTTAGAAGCTCAGCCAAGGTGACAGTACTGCTTTTACTATGGCAAAGCATGCAGGTCCTACACATTCAGAGAGCCTCACACAGCAGCCTTCTTGAGCAGTGAGACAGAGCCCATGAAGGCCACTGGGTCCTGTGGCTTACATCTGTCCATGTCTGGAGGGCCTACGAGTACTACAAAGTCATGCTGCTCCCTAGCCAAGTGGGATTTCCAGTGGGCACCAGAGATCCCCAGGCGCTCTGCTTAGACAACCCTGATTTTTCTAAATAAATAATAATCAACTGCAGGAAACATTTCATGCTCAGAGATGTACTTATTAACACAACAATCCACAGCTCTGTTCCAACAACCAGGACTCCAAACATCTATAGTGCAGCCTGGAATCTCTGCTTCTAACACCCACTGAGGAATCATAATTAGATGGTCAGGGATATCTTGTGTAGTTAACACTGGACAGCCATGGGCAGCAGGAGCCCTGGAAGGGACCTCATGCTCTAGAATACAAAGACTTACACAGGGATGGGGAGAAGAGGTATTTGTGCATAGGAAGTGACCACAGGGAGCTGGGAGCAGTGTCTAATTAGACATGGGCTGTAGTTGGGTGAGAATGGACCAGTATTAGAGTAAAGAGCAGTGTCACCCTCAAGAAAAGGGCTCTTATGAGCCCCAGGAAGCCAAGAGGCAGTAGCCACCAGCTCCATAGCATCTGAGCCCATGGCTGAGGATGTCAGCTAGGGCAGCACTCATTCACAAAGGTCACGGCCAGTCCCCTTGGCATCAGTATAAGAACTAAGACACTAAGGGGAAAGACCTGAGTCTAGGTCCTCCAGTCCCAGGGGAGTAGGACAGTCAGCCCTAGTGATGTGCAAGCCGTTGGCCCTCAGACAAGGCGCAGGCCACATACGGTGCACCCATCCTTGGCTGTGCAATATCAGAAACAAGACAGCGGCTGTCCCTTCAAGAGCCCTGGCCACACCTCCCCTAGGCTCAACATTCTACTTTCTACAGAAAAGCCAGGAGAGCCTGGTGTCCTTTACACCTGCAAGGGCCTACAGCCCACAGACCAGGTGCTGGGCAGGTGGACGGAGGCATAGCCTAGACTTTCCCATCAGGTGAAATGGATGCCTTATCAACAGTGCACATGGCCTTGTGGTCAAGCTCGGGCCTGATGAGATAACTAGTTTGTGCAACAGACTATTAAAATGAAAAGGGTTGGGAGGTCTCACAATTTACTAGGAATTTGATAGTTTTCCTTGTGTTACAGAATGTGGAACAAGGGAGAGTCTATGATAGTAAACATGTAGCCGAGTAGTGGGGAAGACTGATAAGCAGCCCCTGTACAGCCTCAGAAGGCAGGGGAGGCTCCCAAGAGAAACAAGGACACGCTATGTATTTGTTACAGCAAAGCCCATGAGCCAACATACCTATCAGCATCCAGACTGCAAACCGGACCCATGTGCCCTGGTCTAGCTGCATCATGAGATAGATGTTCACAAAAATGCTCAGAATAGGCAGCACTGGCAAGAAGGGCACCTGCAGAGACAGGAGGTGGCATCAGATCTGACAGAAGGCCCAGTCCACATCAAGTCCCACACTCCCAGTCCACACCCACAAACACATGCAGATCAAGTGGGAGTTTGGCTCTAAGCTACCAACTGCCAAAATTGAGTTCAATTCCAATTTTCCTTTTTTATTATTCTCCTGCTAAAGAAAGGACTAGAAGAGGGGTTTCTATTTTATCTCTGAGAGTGAACTATGTTAGTATTTGCACAACCTAAAAATACAGAAGCCTGGCCATCTCCAAGGCTTGGAAGTGATATGTGATGCCCCCATGGACAAGATACGCCCATACCCTGAGAGGCAGAGGCACACAGAAGGGTCCGTCCTAGCCTTCCAGAGTCAGGCCCTTTGCTCAGTGCATCTCCTTTGGGCTGGGAGCGCCCCATCCCAGAATGCCTGAGGCTGGCTGGCAAGAAGGCCCCTGGAGCACCCATGCAGGGTCAGCCTCCCAGCAGGAGGGCTAGCCGTGGCCTACCAGGAAATCCCCCACAGGCCCATTAGGCCACGCTGCTCACCTTAAACGAGAGCTTGGTCTTGCTCTCGGGCTGCCTCCAGATGATGCCCATGACCATAGCACTGAGCAGGGTCATAATCATGAGCACGAGAATTGCCCACAGCTCCCCTCTGCCCAGAGCGTCTCGTCCAATCACAGCCACAATGCATATCGTGAGGATGAAAACAACTAAGGACAGAAAAGAGAGGGCAGCCCAACTCAACGATTCCCCCAGTCCCCACAGTACTGTCAGTTTTCCCCGAAACTTGTCCAGAAGGTGGCACTGACTATAATTAGGACAGAAAAACTGTCCTGGTCACACTCAGGCGACAAAACACTCATCTCCAGCAACATGGCCCACTCTATATTCATGCTAAGAAGATAACCTGCAATGCCAGCAAGCAGGACTCCAGACCCTTAACAGGGAAGAGCTGAGCTCTTACCTATGAGGCTGGCTGAAACATTCACGATGAGTCCAGACAATTTGGAAGGCTCCATGTTTTTAGGTGTGAGAATGCTTTTCAAAGACAACTTCTCTGCTTTTGGTAAAAAGCCTGTCTGGGAATCGCTGGTGCTCACAAGTTCATTCTGGTCAACTTGATCTAGTTCATCAGTTGTTCTGGCCATCTGGTATACCAGGTTAGGCTGCTCTGGTTGATACCTGTAAGCAAATGCAGGGTGTGTGACCACTGTAATATGCTTGCATTCAGCAAAAGGACCTGTACCCATTTGCATTTTTAATAAGCCTTCAGAGGACAACTGCCTGGGACACAAAGCATAACACAGGAAAGCGGCAGTCGAAAGGGTGCATTCTCTAGCAACGCTAAGTGGAGGAAGAGACATCTGGGTCCTTCTTCCCATGTGGGAAACACTCTCACTTGATGGCCCTTGCTGGGCAGAACATGAGCTCCACTGTGAAGCAGCCCGGTGCAATGTCCTGGGAGGATCTCTTGCTCTATGGAGCAACAGCGGCTCTTGGATGTTAAGATATTAGGCCATTTCCCACAAAACCACAGTCACAGCAGGCTAAAGGATAGGACAGAAATAGAAAGCAATAATGCTAGGCTCCTATTTGCTGCAGAGAGCCAGAGAATTTTGTCGATAGGCTGATGGATGAGAAATTTTATGTGTATGACGTAATTGGATCAATTTAGTTTAAAATTCCAAATGCCTTAGAGTAAATAACTCTCTGGAGCTCAGTGAAGAATGCAGCCTGTGGCATTATTTCTAAGACACAAGCTGCCTACGCAGAACTTCTTCATTTTAAATGAAGTGCCTTATCTCCCTGCCCACAATGAATGGGGTGCAAATCTTCACTAGCTTTGAAAAAGGGTGCTTTCTGGATTATTTTGCATCAAACAAGAGTGAGCATAAAGACAGCTCCTCATTTTTACACTGACTCACTTGTGCAACATGATGTGGTCAGTTATGACAGTGGAGAGACCTCAGAGAATATTCTAGCCTGGGGAGAGAAGAGGCATCCACTAGTTTTTGCTGACTCCACAAAGCTACTGCGCAGGCTCAGCAGAGGTTTTATTAAAGCAGGTGCTGAGAACAGCAGAAATGGAATCAGTGGCCTTGAAAGTACCAATTTCTGACAAGAGATAAGAACGCTCTTGCTGGGTGACCAGTATAACAAATGCTGTTTTAGGCCGTCTCTACAATGGAGGCTTTTTTCCGGATTAAGAATAACTGGAGACCAAGCCCATGCTTTGGGAGGGGCCCTGAGATGGATGAGAACACCCAGACACTAAGTCGAGGCCCAGGAGCTGCTTGTTGTTTCAAGAGAGAAGCAGTCAAAAACCTATCAAGTGTCTATGAACATCATGTAGGCCACTCTGAGACATATACTGGGATTTATTCCCCCGTCTGCAGGGAAACGTCGCTACAGAAGCATCACACTGATCTGACTGCACAGGCTTTTGTCTTCCAGTTTCCTAAAGGGCCAGCCGCCAACCCCTCTGTTCCTCTGGACCAGCTACACCCATTCCATTACCCTGAGCCCTCGACAGTTGTGATCCTAGGACTCAGGACACAGCGGGGGAGCTGAGAAGCTGTTATCTTCCTAATAGCCAAAATGTAAGGGCACATTATAGAGGGAGGCAGGAGAGATCCTCGGCTTTTCTAGTATATCCTCCCAAGCAGGTTCGCAATTACCACATCCCATCTACTCTTTGGAAGCTCCTAGTTAAGCTATCATCAGTGTAAAAGTTCTGCAGCAACCTTGGTATACCTACATTTGCCATGGAGCCCAGAAAAACTATACATACCTTAAGACCAATACACAGGCAGCCACCAAAGAGTAAGCCAGGAGAGTGCCAATGGACATGAGGTCCACCAAGTCCTTCAGGTCAAAGAGGAAGGCCATCACAGCTGGGAAGACAGACATTGGTATCTATGGACAGTCCTCTGGACACATCAACATCCAGAGCCAGCAACTAACTGTGACTCAGGGTATGCAAGGGACCCCATTCATTCCCAGCCCAACCGCCAGCTTGCCACGGAAGAACACTTCTTCCAGGGAAGACAACTTCTAGGTTAATCCCCTAGAGAGTAACAATAATAATAAACAATCTCCAACAGACAATAATAATAAACATTCATATAAAAATACTTTAATCATTTTTTGATCCTCAATACTTTACAAACCACACCTACACTATACATGAAAAAATTAAGTTCAGACAGGATAGGAAACTAATCTGAGGTTAAAGAACCAGTGACTAGAAGAGCCAGGATCCACCCACCTGTCTATCCTGCATCTATTCAATGATCGATCATCCAACCATCCATCCTTCACCCATCATCTACATATAAATCACCTGTCCATCGCCTATCTAGCCATTGCCCATCCATTCGTCTCCCATTCATCTGCCACTCACCCATGGATGCTCCATACAACTGAGAGTGTGCCGGTCACCTAGGGCAAACACTACCGAACCAGGCAGACCAGTTCCTGACCTCACTGACAGCATCTCCTCCAGACATATACATCGGTAGATAACAGAGACACGGAGGAAAAAGAGGGCATGTCTGTGTGGTCCTCAGAGGGGCTTGAACTCAGGTGGGTCAGGGAGGCAGAATTGTTCTTCATGTGCGAAATCACTTTACAACCC